GGAATACAGTGCGGACCACCCTGTATATAGTTTAGATTTCAGAACAGTACTTGTATTAGTAATATTTTTTTAAGAAGAGCTGAAAAATGTATATTTTCTATTTATTTATAAATATGTCTGAAATTATCGAAAAATATTTGCTCATATCTTAGGATTACGTAAAATGATCTGAAAGGAAGCCAAAAATGCAATAATATACAGGGTATTCCATTTAAAAAAATAATCCCGATCAACTCACACATTTTTGAGCCACCCTTTAGAAGTTAAAATGTTTTTCCTGAAATACATCCTAGTACATACTTTTTTTTAGGTTTGCACTTAAAGAAAATTCCCAAGTTGTTTATTCTAGGAGCTACAGATGCCCGACGCAGTAATGCCCGACCTGTATATTGTCTAAATCTAGCTAGAAAACTATAATAGAAACTGACTTTGTTATAATGTTCTTAATATTTTTCTCTTTTATTTTCCCAAATAAAAAATAATTCAAGTTATACATCTTGCACACACTAAAAAATGAAGACCCGCCTTGTTACAACGTTAATTAGTCCAATTTATTCGGTATGCAAAAGGTCCCTTAATAAGACAAAACGCTCTCTACGAACTTTCGCCGAGACCGATTGAAATGGTCGCGGGAAAATTATTAGCGCACTATTAAATAACGAATTCGCGACCATTTTACCATAACCGGTCCCCCTAAGCGTTTGGCTCGAGATCAAATATTATGGCAAAGTCACTGGAAACGATTATTGTTTATTAATAGACTCAACTTGATTTTTCTTTCTATCTAAATAAATTCACTTTCACTTAGTACCACCGCACCGTTGAACGTTACCGTTAATGGTCCGTTCTTTTTCAATCTCTGTACCGCAGAATTTTTCCACTTTTCTCAAACAATATCGTTTTTACAAGTTTTTTATGCCAATTTCTAATAAATAGCATGTAAGGAGTGTTGTAAAATGCTAAGGAATTTATTTTTAGTTCATTCATTTTCAACATTCCCCGACTAGCGATTAGCGAGACTGGTTTTGGTTGTTCTCTCAAACACCAGTCTTGGTCTTGCTTTTTGCGACCAAGACTGGCGTTTGAGCTGCAAGACCAAGACCGACCAGTGCAAGACTTCCGCAAGACAAAGACTTAACCAAGCAAGGTGCAAAGACTCTCGTCTGAGCATAACAGGGGCGATGAAATCAACACCCACTGCAGCATCAATGGAGGCGCTTCTGGACCTTCCGCCTCTTCACATAGTGATCCAGGCAAAGGCAAGAATGGAACACTATATACGAAACAAAGTGCGTTGTCTCTGGGAAACAGGATAGAAACAGGACACTTAACAGGGGAATTCTAACGGGGGACCTCTACTCCAAATGAGATCGAACCAAAAGACCCCTCTTTATCACTACTACAAACCATTCGAGGTAAATAAAGGCTGATTCTCACTATACCTTCCGTATCAGCTACCTTCCGTTTTCTTTCCGTTTACATAAAATATTGTATGATAAATGAATAGAACAATGCACACTATCCGTTCCGTATCGGAAACTTTTTATATTCTATATTTCTATATCTATTTGGTATTTCCTAACTTCCGCAATGATACAAATTGTACAATAAAAAGTATGGAACTGATATGGAACGGAAGCATACGCATAGCGTGAATACAATCAAAAATACGTAACGGATATGGAATGGATATGGAATTGAAACGGAAGGTATAGTGAGAATCAACCTTAAAATGGACCGAGGAATGTGGACAGATACAGCATTCCTTCAGGACAGACTAATTAGTCCATCCTAACCTGGTATACGAGACCGCTGAAGAACAGACCGCTCAAAGACCGCTGAAAGAACAGGAGCTAGAGTATTTGGGAAAAGACCATAAAAATTAAAGGGCAAGCTTATCCTTTTCCTTGGGTAAATATTCAACCGTATTATTTCAGGCAGAAATCTTCGCCATTCTACAATATGCGAGAGAAAACAACAGAAGAGCTTATTCAGGTAAGCTTATTAGCTCAGACAGTCAGGCGGCACTTGGAGCCTTTATGAGCCCAAAGGTATCGTCGAGACTCGTCTGGGAATGCCTAGGCAAACTGGGAGCTCTGGCACGAATGAACAGAATTAAATTATTCTGGGTGCCGGGCCACAGCGGCATCCAAGGCAACGAAAAATCCGATGAGCTAGCTAGGCAAGCATCATCGGCATCCTATCTTGGTCCAGAGCCAGTACTGGGAATACCCAAATGTATGATCCGTAGTGCACTCTGGATTAGGAATCAGCAGAATGTCCACTGGAAAAACAGACACGGGCACAGACATAGCAAGGCCTTTGTCCAAGGACCTAGCTCTAAAACCACAAAAGAACTGTTAACACTTAGCAGGAATAAACAGGCTTACAACAGGCCTCTTGACAGGTTGTCACGTGATACCTGAACAAGCTCAACCTGTACCAAGGAAGTTTTTGTTGCAGACTCTGCGATAAAGATCATGAAACAGCGGAGCATATAATATGTCACTGCGAGGGTCTGGATCGCAAGCGAAACTTTTTATTTCGGAAAGCAAGGCTAGAACTGGAGGAACTATACTCCTATCCCATTAAAGACCTGCATAAGTTGGTGCAGGGTACAGGGATAGGAGAATGGGTGCTGATATAGAAAGAGGATAAACACAGTAGGCCTCACAGGCCGCAGTGTTTCCGGAAAAGGACGGCCCCTTATTATTAAAAAAAAGCCATGCTAAAAATAGTGATAAAAATTGCTCTTGACCAAAAATAAATTGAGATCGTCATTCTAATAGTTCTTTATTGGCCCTACTTTTTATAATTGAAGAGTGGAAATACGAAAGGGGGTAAGTGCCAAAAATTATTTTTTTGAGAAAAATTAGAAAAACATAGTAGAACCGAAAATAATAAATTTTTAAAATTACCTTTAAAAATACATATAAATATACATAAAAAATAGACGCTTTCGCTTGGCACCTTGTAACTTTTGTTAGGACATGCAGCATGGTATTTATTACCATGCTGCATGTCCTTAGTTTCTAATGCAATAACTTAATGTTGAAAAATTTGGCATTTACCCCCTTTGGTATTTCCACTCTTCAATGATGGAATTTTTTTAACACTCAGTGTCAAAAGACCCATTACCCTGTATATGTTGGTAAAACACATAAATACATTATCAGTTAATTATAATTAATTCACAATACGTAAAATTGCACTTAATGAGCAAGAAAATTGTACATAATTATCGTAATAAACCACTTAAACAGGTAGTTATGTTAGGGCCTTTTAATATATTACTTTATCTCTTATTTATAATTTACGGCTTACGGATTTTAAAATTTATTTAAACATTTTTTTGTAGATATGTATGTAAATTTAATTTTATTATGTAATAGAATACAAATTTTAGGTGAAAAACTCAGACTATAATTTTCCAAAAATTTTGTTATAAATGAAGAACTCTTTGAAGTCTATTGAAATATAGTTTTGCTAAATAATATTTATAGACAAAAGCGATGTATAATAATTATGTGTTATATCAGCTACTCCTGTATCGCAAATACTTGGCAGGTATTATCACAACATATTAACTCTATGCTTCAGCATAATTTAACAACAGTGTTTCCTAGTATATTATGTGTCAATAGTACATAATATGCCTAATAATGGTTCAAACAAACTAAGGATTTTAAAATTTTAAAACCCATGTTTATTTTTCGTATTAGATAAGAAGTCTCGTACTAACTATTAACACATTAACCTTGATCGAAATCGAAAATGTAATTTGCGATTTTAATCCCCCTGTCTTGAATATTAACATCACGTAGTTTGTTGCCTTGAAAAGTATGAGTATCTTATTTCTAACTGAAGTTCATGAAGCAGCCTTGTCTATATTGCAAAAACTAAATAAATATAAGCAAAATTAAATTTAAACAAGACAAAAAATAAATAAATTACTAAAATAAACATATATTATTTTAGAACCGTTATAAATTACTACATTCAAAAGAATCGAATCAATTAAATTATTAACTGCAGTGTAAAACAGTTAAAATCGATTAACCGAAATACCGTATGATCGAGAAAAAATGCCGTCCAGTTAGCTTAGAAATGACTATCGATAACATACCATTACATGTTTCCAGAATCGGTTTGAGCGTATGCAAAAATGTATAAATATATATTTTAAGAAAGCTGCTTCTTTGATATATCTTTTACTATGCCCTCTGGAACAGCGGGTAGGGTGTCTGGCTGCCGATAGACGTTGCGTTCACTACTGCGCATTGAAAGAAGTTCCTATATTTTTATTTAGTCCTTTAAGTACTGAATATTCTTATATATCTATTCTATATATACTAGTACTGAATATAAATCGAACAAGTATCCGTAGCGCGGCGCGAAAACGTTCAGCCTATAAAGCGAGAAGTCCAGAGTTCAATACCGGCTCAGGGTAAACTTTTTTTTATTTCATTTTCGTTTATATTCTAATAGTAAAGTGATAAATAATTTTGGTGATTAAAAAAACAATTATTTAATACTCTACTATCAGAATATAAAAGAAAATAAAATAAATAAAAAGTTTACCCCGAGCCTGTATTGAACTCTGGACTTCTCGCTTTATATGCTAAACGCTTGGCGCCGCTCTATGGAGACTTGTTCGATTTATATTTAATACTAGTATTTAACGGAATAAATAAAAATATATATATAGGATCTTCTTTCAATGCGCAGTAGTGAACGCAGTGTCTATCGGCAGCCAGACGACTCGCACGCTGTTCCAGAGAGCATAGTAAAAGATATATTAATGAGCCAGCTTTCTTAAAATACTTTCTCGAAAACGTTGCTAGCTCTTAGACTATTAAGGGCGAATGGCGAATATTTAGAAAAGCAATAAAACACTTTTTTTCAAACTTGTTCGTTTCTGTTTAACTTTTTGCAAAAACTTAATACACTCTCCATATGTCGCTGTCTTTACTATTATTTCAACAAAAACAGGTACTTACGGCCTTTTCCCCTGAATATTTCCTGGTAGTCCGTTATGTTGGTGATGTCGGCCACCGAGTCCTCTTCCGGATCGGTGCCCGACGTGTTTTCCTCGATCGTTTTCACGTCCAACGTGGTCGATTTCAGACTGATGGGTCGCTCGGCCTTGGAGAAGCTCTTCCTGAGGGTGGAGTGGTGGCCGAACGAGTTTTCCGTCAAGGTCGAGTCCGTAAGGGTCGAATTGTTCATGGTGTCCATCGGTCGACATTTTTTCAAATCCACCACGTAGACTTGGACGTTGGTTAAATGGAATGACGCCCCAATCTAAACAAAGTAACAATATTATAGTCGAGATCAATAAATTTGAATCAATTTAGGTAAATGTGTGTGAAAAACAAGTGGGTGATGGAATTGCAAACTTGCTCGTGAATTTTTATGAAAATTCTCCGATACCACAAATATGTTTTCCTATATTAACGCGTAATTTCGACATTTCAACGAAAAATTCAGTATCTGCATCAGGTCAAAACAGGTATGACAAATTGAACAAAGTATGTATGTTTGTAAAAACTGGTTCAAAATTTGTTACACTGTAAATGGATACATCTTCCATAATTTTCCGAATTTACTGGAATGAATCAAGTTGCTTTTTACCAAGCTATAAATCAATTTTTCCTATAACACCTTAATTTTATTTGTGACTTTCAATACATACAGGATGGTTCGAACTGTTATTCCGGAAACTTCGGCAGCATATTCTACAGATAAAAATAAGTAAAAAAAAATCTTATAAATGTATGTCCTAAAATGCTTAGTTTCGGAGATACAGGGTGTAGAAGTTTCATTTTTATTACGATTTTTTCCCAATAATTTCTGAAGTACTTAACGGCAATATTTGGATGAAAATTTCACACCTCTACTTTTCAACCAATAACATGCTTTAATGTTGACTAGTTACCATGGCAACTGAAAAAATTTCCGGAAATTTTTTCTAGGCGCCACGAAACTTTAGTGGAAATTTTTTGACAGTTGAAAAGGTAAACATAAGATCTACAATCATAATGTGAATGAACTACAAACTGTTTCCATACACTTGATTTTGATTTTCGGGTGTTATCTGGTTTTATATTTTTAATTTCTTCTTTAATGACTTGTTGGTTTACTTTTCCAAATCGCGACATTTCGCTATACACTTCTTACTCTACGTACAGACGTTTTAAAACTAGTAATAGCTTAATGACAGAATCGCAAACAAAAATGACAAAACACATAATATGTCAAAAACATCAATACCTTGGCCAACTTAACAAATTGAAATTATTTTAAAATGTCATGTTGGATTAATATTTTTTTTCAAATTTAGGTGTGAAATTTTCTTACCGAATACCACGCAAGCTTAAATTATTCCTGGAAATTTTCTTTCGGGCACGAATATTTTAGGAAAATTATCCCTCGTCTTCGACTCGGGATAATTTTCAAAATATTCGTGCCCTCAAAAAAATTTCCGAAAATAATTTAAGCTCTTGTGATATTATAAGTGAAAATTGGTGTCTGGGAGTTTTTTGACATGAGAAATTTGATTTTGATTGTCAATATAACTGCTATTTGTCGGGCGCCACCTACATGTGTTTTAACTATTTTAAAAAGTAATAATTTTTCGTCCGTACCTGTATAAAACTATTGAGTGAAAAACTATACATTTCCGTGACTTTTTACGTAAATAATAGTTTCGTTCCAACGACGGAGAGAACCTTACTCGGTACGGTAACGCTTCTGCGCAGTGGAGAAAAAGCGTTCCAACCACGAGAGAATCGTTTAGTGAACGATAACTTTTGCGTTCCAACAAGAGTTGTCACCGTTAGTGAATCGATTCCGGGACCGTTATTTCGATACCAGCCTGAAAGCAAGAATCATAGAGACTGACCTACGCATTAAGAATGTGTCAGCAGATTATTGATTCTTTCTGGACTTCAGTCATTTCTCTTTTTAATTTTGACAGTTTATTTATCTGTTGTTTTGAAGACGTTTTGAAGCTTAAAGTTTTATTTGATGTTTATCGTGCATTGATTTTAAATATTTCTCTATTTTAAAAAAAATTATTATTATTCTTCAAATCAGTTAAAAAATATGTATGTGGCGCCCTCTACAAGTAGGAGTAATATTGACATCAAAATCAAACTTCTCATGTAAAAAACTCCCAGGCACAAATTTTCATCCAAATATTGACGTTACTTCATAAATTATTTGGAAAAAATCGAAATAAAAATGAAATTTCTACACCCTATATCTCCGAAACTAAGTATTTTATTTTAGTAACTTTTTTACTTATTTTTATCTGCAGAATATGCTGCCGAAGTTTCCGGAATGCAGTTCGGACCACCCTGTATATTAATGTCCCACCCTCGGCCGCAACCTTGCAAATTATTGAAATAGGGTGCCTGAACATTTTTTTAAGAAAAAGTGGCCGTGCTTTGTATAGCTTTGGAAAACACTGAACTAGGCTATTAATTAACAAAATGCGTTGAAAAGAAGAAAAACAGCATAATTTTGATATGACAAATTTCTAATGAAATTAAGTGGCACAACTTTATAAAGAAAATAAATTCTAGATAACTTTTGTTATGGTCATGTTTTTCAGTGCAATTCATAGATAGCAATCGAGAACGTGCTAAATATAGCTGTGCGGAAAAACCTCGGGAAAAACTCTCACCGTTATGCGATATACGATGATGATAGTTTTAAAAACCTTCCAACCTCACAATATACATTCAGTTTGAAAACTTCGTCCAAATTTAGCTATCATAGCGTTGAGGAATCGCTTCTTCGAACACGCTTTTAGGTCAAGTGAGTTTTAGTCCAGAGTGACAAAACGCGATGCTTACTGCACAAACCCTTTTCTAATGACAACACACAATACGATATTTGGACAAGATCATGGCGTCAGATATCAAACTGTAGTTTCAGTTTTTGGATGTTTTCAACGTTCTTTACTACACCACGGTGATTTTACCCGAAATTAACATTCTTACGCTTCGTCCTACGTGGGAGACAAAAGGGCGCAATTCGGGCGGTGCGAGCGACGCATATTTATGAAACGAGAAACAACGTTTCCTTACGAAGCCGTCGTAGGTAGGGCTCACCACCCTCTGTTGTCGCACGCGTCGCTCGCTGGCTTTTGTCTCCCACGTAGAACGAAGCGTTATTTCCTTACAGTTCACCACGGGATAGTAAAGAAAAATTACTATATTAAAAATAATTTTTCTTTGGATTCTCATTGTTTCATGACATTCGTACGAAAAAAATACGTAAAATGATAAAAAAAAATTATAATTTTTGGAGATCCTTGCATATTGTTGACAATTATTGGTATAGTATGAATCAGTTAAAAAGCAACGAGCTACATTGTCTAATCATCGCCTGTCTCCCTTGCACTGGTGCAACCATGACTGACTCAGGAGAGAAGGAGCTTTTTGTTGTCATAACGCTCGTATAGTTTTCTCGACTTTTCTTAAGGTGCGTATTCATTATCCGCACGAACGAACGAACGAACGAATGTTCGCTAGTGGTACGGAGGGGGACCGCACGATAGGACCGCACGAGAAGACCGGAGGTATTTGTTGGCGAACGCCTTTGATGTACCGACTCGAAACGGATGGTCGAGCGAACGAACGAACGAACGGCCGCATGCGTTCGGTCCCCGTCTAAATATACCGCACTTTCATTCGTTCGTTCGTTCGGATAATGAATACGCACCTTTAGATGATTCGCACTATATAGAGACGTAGAAAATTTAATTTTAAACTCCAATCTTTAAAAATATGTTAAATTGTGCGCTGCTATTGCCCGTACAACATACAGTATGTATCCGGATTGTCTTTCCAAGAGAAAAAAGTTTTTTATTATTGACATTTTGGGAAAAATGCATTCTTCATAAAAAAATTGCTTGTTTTAAAATGGTTAATCCCGTTTATATTTTTCCAAATTTCCATTACCGTTTTAGAGAAAATTAAAAAAACATGAAATTATGGTTGAACTTTTTTCAGAAATAAGAAGTTCTAAAAGTCAAAACGTGTTTCTATGGTAATATACCTAATTTCGTTTTCATTTTTTGATAGATTTTTATTGATAGAATTTTAAATAACATAATATTTTTTGCTGTTTTAAAATGTCAAACAAGTACAAAATTTATTTAGTTCAATGCTACGGAAAGGGTGATAATAGTTATCGGAAAACGTGATACTTTAACAACAGCAAAAAATATGACGTTAATCAAAATTAATCAAAGAATAAAATCTAAATTATATTACCATAGAAACGACTTTTGATTTTCAGGACTTTTTAGGAAAATTCAACCATTTTTTTCCTCTTGTAAAGACAATCCGGGGACATCTGTATAAAAAGGTTGGAGTAAAAATAAACAGCGGACACTTATTTTTCTTCTTCAGCACTGTGTGCCCCCTCAAAGGCGTAGGTGAGTAAACGCAAATTTGTCGCACGGTTAGGAATGTACAAATATGACTTTTTTTCTTGTTTTGAGTCTGTTTTTCTTATTGAAGCATAAATTTTGCTTAATCCATCTGAAAGACCGCTTTTAAAACAAGCAAATCGCAAAAATTACAATGAATATTAATATCTGAAGGAATTAACGAGGTGGTAACTTTAGAACTTTTACACACACATCGCTGGACTTATTAATTACCTACTTAAAATATTTGCAGTTTAGCGCGCAAACTGACCACTCCAATTACAGAAAGGCTAATGATTTATAATTATATCAATCAACCTTTTTCCACTAGCACTCTTCAATATCGACATTATTTTTTTTTCATTGCCGCACACTTAAACAAAACGCTTTTAACCTACTTTATTTGGTAATACAATCGTCTACTTATTTGCCTTGGAAATGAATCGGGGTGGTGCCCCAGTTCCTTGTTATTGCTTTTTTTCTTTAGTTTACTACTTTAGAAAAAATAACTACCATCATAAAATACGTAATAAAAGACGGAATAAATGCATTTAGATTTTATGTGTACTGGCTCTTGTGGCCTATTCTACACCAATCTTTTCTTACCCAATACACACATGACCAAAATGATTGCATATAAAGATATTTTTATTTTATTTTGGGCCTAATATGATTCTTTTTATATTTTTGGACATATTGGCTTACTACACGACTAACTAATATAAAATTAAAAATCTAAGTGCAAATTGGCTGTTATTATAATTTTATTTCATAATGAGTGAAAATCAACAAAAACAAATTTCATTTTAAACAGAAAATATTGAAAACAATTTTAATTATTTCTCACAACTAATAGTCTGTATTGCCTTCTCGAGCCGCAATGCAAGCTGAGACGACGTGGCATGCTCTCAATTAAGTCGTCCAGAAGATGTTGAGGAATGGCTTCCCATGTTTCGCGCGCAGCAATTTTCAATTCATTTAAGGTACGGGGGGATCATTCCTTTTGGCAATATGGCGTTTTAGCATGTCCCAAGCATGCTCGATCACATTCATATCTGGAGACATCGGTGGCCACCACAGTTTTCTTATACCCTCTTCCTCACAAAATTCGCGAACTCCTCCACTGCCCCTCGAGATGGACGCACATGATATGTGCCTCTAAGATATGAGGCACCTGTCATTGTGCCATCAATAAAAACAAGAGGAGTTCGAGCTCCGTGCATTATACCTGCCCATACCATAATGCTTCCCCCTTGAAACGGGACCCGGGTTGAGCTGCAATCAAGCATGCTCTTCTCCCAGATGCTCTCCAGACCAAAGTTCGTCGCGAGTCTGATACTAGGCCTATTCTTGTTTCATCACTAAACATGACGAAATTCCAATTAGGTCCATTTGCTCTCATCTCCTCAGCCCATTGTAGTAACGTAATTTTGTGCTGTAAATTAAGCTTCGGAACACGTAGAGGCCTCCTTAAATGTAATCCTCTGTCATGGAGTCTTCTTGCTATGGTCTTTCTTGAAACATTTCCTCCTTCAAAGCGAGCTAACTCATTTTTAATAGCAGTACTAAAAAGCAGGGGATTGCGTCGTGCAAGAAGGGATATTTGACGGTCTTGCACAGCAGTAGTAACTCTCTTTCTACCTCCTCCAGGCCGATCTGTAACCACGTTTGTCTCCCTGAACTGTTTTAATATTCGCGAAGCATCGTTTTGGTTAACTCCTACAATTTCAGCTATTGCAACTTGCCGGTAGCCCTGTTGAGACAGTGCTACTATTCTGACTATATTAAACTGTGAAATAATGTTTCTAGACATTTTAAGGCCAAAACAATTATTATTACAGATTATCAAAGCTATGTATAAAAAAGGTTTCTTTAAATTCCTTTCCGTATATTTTTAAACGATATATGCAATAATTTTGGCCATGTGTGTATATTATCTTCTGATTACGTTTTCCAATTCACACTCTCCTTTTTACAAAGTCTGTAATGCTCTGTTACTAGATCTACTGCAGGTTTGATAGGTACCTATATCACGTGCGTTGTAAATTTTGAAAATGAATGCAACTAGAGGCCGGAATATTCAAGCCAGCAATATTGAAACTACAGAGTCGCCAATTTTAATCATATATTCTTTCCATAGTCTTTTTTTATTCAGTGCCGAGCATAATGTATTTTGCAATCCAATTAGTGGAAATGGACAGAAATATGAACAATAAAAAGAGTGCTGGTACCGGCGGCGAATGCTCTTATGTATGTCGTGAAAATTACATAACTTTATTGTATCCCTATCTATTATTAATTAACAGCGTTATAACATATCTATGAAAATAGAATTAGATAACTAAAGAATGTCATTATATTCAAAATACCTATGCTTTCTAAAAATAATGTCTTTTAAAAATATATTTTATATGGATTGTTTATTAAACCTTAAAAATGATAACTAAGGAAAAATCCAGGGAAAATAGGTCCCGAAAAAGAATTTTAGTTGTATAAATTGGTTAATATAAAACATTAAGATACACTTAAGATGTTATAGGTATCTGATATTTGAAATGTGAACATACTTTTCTAACTACCTACAATAATTCTTGATTAGCAGAGATCCAATTCTGTAATTTATATTTTTAGAAAAAGAAAAATGTTTAGATATTTATGAAACAGCTACATTTTAAATCACATTTAAAAATAAATTGAGTATAAAAAATTAGAACACTCAATAGGTAAGTACATAAATCTACAAAATTGGTTAACCTATTAGAAGTATTCTATTATTATGGATACATTTACATTTATGTTTTTTATATTATAGGTTTCCAGGGAATAAAAACTAGGTCTAGGTACCTAGAACACGTTTAGAAATATAGATTTTTAATTTAAATTGCAAGTTTGCTTTGACTTATGGCTTGGTTCTTTCAAGGTTGAGTTGTAATGCTCAAGTCTTTAACTGAAAAAAAAACATTCAAACAGAATGTAATTAAATCAACTGGAAAGACTAAAAAAATCTCAATAGAATTATATAACTTTTGTTTATTAAAGTTTAGGTAATTTGCATTTTTTATTTAATTTTATTCAGTTTTAATTAGGTACCTAAAAACATTTATTGTGCCATTATTTGTGTGTAATCAGACAAAAAACTACTATTTAAACATTTAATTTCATGCAAGAAATATTAAAAAAAAGAAACCAAAGTAAAAAACACTTACCAATTGATTTTGAGCAATAGAAATATCACAAACTCTGCCCCATGAAACAGGTACGGAATCATGAAGCGTACTCGGTTCCCATCCTATAATTTTCAAATAGTCTCTGACACCAGCAAATATAGATTCACCGTCCGGATGAAAACACAAAGATCGCACTGGTCCTAGGTCACTTTCACTAGACACTATACTAAAATGTTCCAAGTCAAAAAAATGCACAGATCGATCTACACTGCCCGTTGCTAATAAGAATTCTTGCGGATGAAATTCAAGACAAGTTACTGCTCTTAAATGGTCCTTGAACTCTTTGAGCACTCTACCTATACGTAAGTCCCATATTTTCACTATACCATCCTCACCTCCAGATGCAACCCACTGTCCATCTGGGCTAAATTTCATGCTATTCACTGTACCTTGATGGCCATTATATGTAAATATCACACCCTTTTTCCTTGTGTCCCACACTTTAATAGATGCATCACCACTACCAGACCCCAAAATGTCACCATAGGGATGAAAATCTACACATTTAATTGTATGTTTATGGCCATTGAGAGTACGCACTAATTTTGCAGCTTCTAAGTCCCAAACCTTGATAGCACCAGCTCGTGATCCAGCACAAACTAACTCTTCTAACTGATTAAATTGGACACATTCAATTGGAGTTGTGTGACCACTAAGGCTCATAAAACAACTCTGTTTACCTATAGCCCAAAGATTGACTTTTTTATCATCTCCTCCGGTAACCATAACTCTTCCAGACTTGTGACCCAATGCCACGCAATTTACATTGGCATTGTGGGCTTGCAAATCCTCTGAAAATGAAATTCATATCTTTAAGACCAATTATACTCATAAGATATTACACTTACGAAGCCTCCATGATCTCTTGCTTAAAGAAGCCATTGTAACAAAAACCTCTTCTGAAGTACAGTTTAACGGCAATAATCATTTTACGTTAGAAAATTTTAGCATTATTACTTCCATAGAGCCCATAATGGAAATTGTTAAAAACAAAACTGCACTACATTAAAAATAGTATTTCCAACTTGATTTATAAAAAAAGACAGTATCGAAATCACTTTTAACACGTTGCTTTGTACTTATTATTCAGATATATTTTGTTGAAAATCTGTATTTTTACCAGTGAAGTATTAAAAGTATTGCTCTATAATAACAGAGATTTACATTTAAAATTTGCAATTAATTCTAAAACAAACATTACTTCTCAACAGTTAAAATATTTATGACAAATTGTCACAAATTGACAAATGACAATCAAAAATCAAAATTAAAATTGTAAAAAAAGACAGAATATAGGAGTGTTCAAATGAATTATTGGGCTGTTTGGTTACCTTGATAGCTAAATTTATATATGATATTTTTTCTCGTACATTTAAATCTTTTTAAATCAGTCAGACACTTGAGTAATTTAAAATTATCAATAAGTCTTTTGGTATGCTATTTCAATTTTTTCAATTTTTTGTGATTATTGCTTATAAAACATTGCTTTCAAACTTGCAGAAATAATCATATATGATATTTTTAACCAAATTAGATCATATATCGTTAAAATATCATTATTATTCAGTGGTAATTTTCAAAAATACGTCATCTCTCTGTCATTCATTCACTAACCTCAATTAATTATTAATTACAAATTACAAATTTTAATACACTTTGATTTTAATAACATATTTTATATAAACTCCTTGTGGTCTAGAAAGATAAGGTAATAAATACATATTGTGCAATTAGCCACCATGAACTCGACAGCTTTTAACATATTCCGGCAAGTAGGATTGCTAGTATTTACCCCCCAATGTTTTGATAATTATTTTATAGATTTTAATTTCTACGATGGTATGTCGATAAAAATAAAGTCGATAGTTTAATTTACTTTTTTTCTTTTTAGTTCCATGTTTCAAATCTACTCTAAGTCAGGGCCTCAGTTTGGGTCTCATCTTAGGCTCAATATTAGTGAAAGTGCCTCAAATACTCAAAATCCTGCAAAACAAAAGCGGAGAGGGTATTAATTTATACAGTGTTACGTTGGACCTAACAGCAATGGTTATTCATATTTCATATAATTTTATTAATAAGTTTCCATTTAGTTCTTGGGGTGATACTTTTTTTGTGGCCATACAGACTGCAGCTATAGCCTTTTTAGTTTTGTGGTATAATGGAGCAAAAAGTCAATCGTTCTTATATATTTTAGTTGTCTTAGGTGTATGCTATGTATTAATGGGAGGACTTACACCTATTAGTGTTTTATGGTCTTTAACTTCTGTAAATATATTTATTGTCGTTGCCGGAAAGCTTTTGCAAGCTTGGACTAATTATAATAATGGACATACGGGCCAACTGTCTGCAGCCACTCTAATATTATTATTGGCTGGATCACTAGCCAGAATATTTACCTCAATTCAACAAACTGGTGATACATTAGTTATTCTTACCTTTATTGCAAGTACAGCAGTTAATGCATTATTGGTATATCAATTAGTTTACTATTGGGACAAAACAGTGAAAACAAAGAGTGATTAAAGTAATAGTTTATGGCAAATAATATTTATTTTCAAAATATTTTATTGTAGGATATTAAATAATAAAATTTAGAAAATAGCTAAGCTGTTATAGCATGAAATACATTTGTTGAGTAATTTGTTATAAATTATTTAATTAGATTTGTAATATAAGTATTTTACATATTACAAAATAAAAATGCTTTGATAATTTTTACAGGCATTTTATTCCCACTACATTTCAAAGAATGTCAAAAAGTAAAAAAATTATGTTTTATATTTTTACCCCCTTATCTGACATTGTAAATAAGATATATTATTATATAATATAATTATATTTAATTTTTATAAAAAATTAAATATAAAAAATATTACTCAATATATAATTTTCTAAACACTACTTATTTAAATTTTTCACATTTTGACCTATGAAAAAAATATAAAGCCATATAAGGACAGATATATAACACAAGGATAACACAGAAAGAGGAAATGCCACATTTTAGTGAATATTTGGTGAAAATACTATGTTACTAGGCAAGTAAAATAAATAAATAATCAAAAGTAGCATTCCCCATTTTGTCTAGAACAATTAAACAGAAATAAAAATTTTAAATTTTTATAATAGAACATTTTAAAGATCTAAAAATCTATTTTTTCTTGAATCTTGCTTATCTGTTTAAAAAATAAAATAAAAATTAAGTTAATATAGAATATAAAACTAATTAATTTATGATCACAGATCGTGCACAATTTTGACAGTGAAGTAATACATTTTTACACAAAATTTAAAGTTTTTCGATACAAGACCAATTAAAAATAATGTTATAATATGAAATTTAAATAATAATTTTAATAAGTATTTTTTAAAATTATTATTTATATTACATTAATCATTTCAATATTATTATTATATTCAAAATAAATATTTGTTGCTACTTTTTTAAAGATTTATAATTATATAATTTGACTCGCAACCTTTTGAATGAATTTTTTTTCGATATCTTGGAGCTAAAGACTCAGATCAAAGTTAAGGATTTCACTGTACTGAAGTTTAAATTGAATATAAAATTTAATTTTTGCAACAGTTATTAAGAACAGTTGTTTAATTTTCATATTGTTTAATTTTATGGCGAATGCGCAGGTAAATATTAAAAGTAAAAAATTTATCGTTTTGGTACTGCCTTTATAACCGTTTTTTCCAGTAATCATCATTAATTCTGAGATAAAAGAAAATGTCTTTAAGCCGATTTTATTGTTTCTTGATGGTACGACCCACTTTAAACTGGATGACCTTTTGTAGAAAGTGTAATTCCATGGAGATGACAGATCAGATATATTTCTTTTATTTTCCCTTTCTTACCCAGCAATCGTTATACATTTAGTATCGAAATAAACGTTTATAAATAGAACGAAATCATTAAAAATCATGATTTAGTAATTTGCACTTTGTGAACCAAAAGATGTAGTGGGATGGGTTCAGACAGGATATAACAATTATACTAAAACCCACTTGCCTCCAAGAAAAGAAATTCTGTCTGGGATTAAGGAAAAAAATAATAATAATAAGACTCAGGGGATGTTTGCATACAATCGTACGGGTTATTAAGTGATTTTCAGAAATAGAATTAAAACATGTGTTATATTTAATAATTTATGGCATATTAAGTTATTTTAAATAGAATTATAAACATATTCTTTTTGTCTGAGTTCGATAGCTACCAAAGAAGCATTTATTTATACCGGATAGGTCTCGAAAGTGGCTCACCCCTATAATTTTAATTTTTTCAGATAAAAAAAAAGAAATTTGGTATGCTACTATATGACATAAATTAGGATTGATTGACTTATTCAATTGATTTTGGTTATTACTTTCCTGTTTCACCGGAAATTACTACAACTTTTGATTTTTAAATAACTCCCTCGGTATATTTCTAATTTATTCTATAGAAAATGATACTCATCTGAGTAGAATGACATTATCATACGTCAAATTTTGACATTTTCGCTCACAAAAAATCGTATTTTAAACTTCAATGTAGAGTGTCATGGCTGTGTTAAAAAACAACTAATTTTTAATCAAAGAGCCTTGGAAAAATAGATTTGATCGTCTAATTTTTTTTTGTGTCTTGTCGGGGTCGGTTAAAAGATGCTCAAATCGTATTTTTAATCATATCGCAATTTTTTCAAATGGAACCAAGGTGGCTCATTAGCATATTTGGGAAAGGCATTTTTTATGAATAATTTGGTATCGTACACTGTACACTTAGTATTTCGGGTCAATTGTCGTTACAATTTCAAATAAGCCATATGCGAAAATGTCTAAAGTTGACATATGATATGTCATTCTATTCAGAGCGTCATTTTCTATCGAATAAAGTAAAAGAATACAGTCATTTAATAATCAAGGTTGTAGTCATTTCCGGTGCACAGGAAGTGACCAAAAACAATTGAATACCGTCAATTAATCCTAATTTATGTCATATACTAACATACCAAATCTCGTTTTTTCATCTGAAAAAATAAAAAGTTATAGAGAGGTGAGCCACACTTTTGGTACGCACACGGTATGTTGGTATATGGGCAGCTAATGAGATTGAATATCTTCTAAATATATGTCATATGTCCTGATAACTTCTTTTTACTTTATTTGGTACAAAATAACATTCTGAATAGAATGACATAATGTCAACTTTCGACATTTTCAATTAAAAAAATAGCATTTTAAATTTTAATTTAGAGTGCTTTGACTATAAATATAACGAGAATTTGTCTCGAAATACCAAGTGTATGATACCAAATTATTCTTATTTATTATTTTATTATTAAAAAATGCTTTTTTCAAATATGTTAATGAACCACCCTCGTTTCATTTGAAAAAAATTGAGTTATGATCAAAAATACAATTTGGGCATCTTTTAACCGGCTAGGACAAGACTCGAAAAAGATTAGATAATCAAATCTATTTTTTTAAATTGTTTTAACACAGCATTTCTCTAAATTGACTCTAGATTGAAATTTAAAATACGATAATAAATATACTAACGTACCAAATCACGTTTATTTATCGAAAAAATAAAAATTTTGTTTTAGGAATACTTAGAATGTTATCGATTGTAATTTCCAAGCCAACTGGACGCCGTTTTTTTTCGGTCATACGGTAATATATTGTATTATTCTATTAGAAGTAAAAATGACACTTTTTGTGGCGAGGCTGTACGTTTGACTAACAGGTGTGGTACAAGAAGTACATTTTAACTTTGAAAAGAACATGTTTTTTTTTCAAACGCCGTAAATATTTCTTTAAACAATTTCAAACGTCACACATAATACACTTTTATTTGACTTGTCTTGTCATGAGCTTTCTAAAAATATAACATACTCTACACCTTTTTATAAACAAAAGATACGCCTTTAAAAAGTCGAAAAATGCAACATTTTCAATTTCGCCCTGTATTTCAGGAACAAAGAGGGCTAGGACAAATCTGTGTGTTATGTGTAGCATCTTTACTTTCTTTAAAAAGTAGCATAGTGATGGGAAAACCACATTATTGTACCTCTAACTCAAACGAGAAATCCTACAAAACACATGAAAATGAGAGACCCTGTACGACTAACTCCTTTAGTCTTTTTCGGTAAATTGCAATAGTGTCACTGTTAACTTAAGTTCTGATACAATTTTCTTCTGGATTTACTACCTCTAAACCCAACCGATTTTAGAATAAATATAAAGCTTGATTTTTCTCCGTCAACGGAGAAAGATCCAATCTTAATAAAAAAACATGATAATACAAGAGCTAGCACCGTCGGCGTCGGCGTCAGCGTCGGGAAAACAAAAATTTTAAGAAAGCTGGTTCGTTAATATCTTTTACTATGCTTTCCTGTGCTCTTCTGACCAAAGTGCGGGCCGTCTGGCTGCCGATAGACAACTGCGGTTCACATCACATCTGTATAGGGTGTCCTATTTTCGTGTGCTTTATGGATTTCTGGTTTATGAATAGAGATACAATGATGCGATTTTCACATTACTTTGCTACTTTTTTATGAAACTAAATATGCGACACATAGGTTTGTCCTAGCCTCCTCACTTCCTGAAATGCAGGACGAATTTGTGATGCGCAGTAGTGAACAGATTTTGAATACAGATATGGGGAATGCGCAGTAGGGAACGCAACGTCTACCGGCAGCCAGACGGTCCGCACTCTCTCGAAAACGTTGCTAGTTCTTAGACTATAAGTAAATCAGCGAAATCGCTATGGAAATGAAAATATTTAAATGGTAGCAATCACAAGCAAATCGTATATCCGATGTACGGAGGCATGAAAATACAATAAATTTAAAAACTGCGTAATTTTCTAACCAATCGAAGTCTTTAAATTCAACCAATAAAATTAATATCGTATCGTCGGCCAATGGATGCATGAAAATGAAGCTTAATAAGTAACATGAAATAAGCTCTGCAAAGATAAACAAATCACAAAATTTTAAATCAAATTAAAATGTTTCAAATGAAACATCAAACAGAACTGTCGAGGCTGGGGATCTATGATGCCGATATTCACAAATGAGCATAATTTTATTATAATCCGCCTTCTTTTTTTTTCGTACAAAGATTATATTACTAAAAAAACTCAGCCTAAATTGGACCATATAGCACCACCGTCCCCTAAAGATTGCCCCCCTATTCGATGTGTCGCAGACCTGCAGTCTGTCTGTCCGTCGATGAGTCCCCGTTTTTATCCTACGAGAAAAGGTCTTTCGAATCCTGCTGTCGCCTATCGTGCTTTCGTTGGCGTACCGCAAAGGCAGCTTTGGCGGGTTCTTTCGATGTTAAAGTCGGCATCGGCACCGGCGGCATAGCAGAATCGACGGTCGATTTCAGCAGGAAGCGCGGTCAGTTTAACCGATATTTTCCGCGATCTGTATCGGCGCCAGTGATATACGAGTTTAAACCAGGCTTTAAGGTGAGTTTTTATATTTTTTTATATAGGCATTTATTTATTTTGTAGTAGTATGTTTCTTTGGTAAGGGTGTTTTATTATTTTCTTTAGTTTAAAAATAGTTTAGTGAGTTTTTCCATTATTGAAACATTAATTTTGTTATAATTTTTCATAAGAATATTTTCTCAAACTTTATCTATCTATATCTATTTTGTTTATATAAGAAGTGAAAATATACAAAATATTGATGTTTTTTAATATTTTTTTTTTATTAAGTCTCACTTGGGTAAAAAATGTACATGTACTGCCAATGACTGTGAAGAAGACTGCCTATATGTCTGCCATAATATAATTTAAGTTGACTGATGCCAACGAAAAGATACTAGAACCTCTAACTACAGGATGAGTCTTAAATAAGTGCAAATATTTTCAGGGGTAGTATATTTCGACCCCAGAAACACGATTATGATTTTTTTTTCGCGAAAAAAAAAATTAAAATTTGGAATTTCTTGAAAAATTTTTTGGATTTTTTTTAGTTTTTTAGTTTAAAGACATAATTTCTTGATAATATGGCAACATAGGTAGTAGATTAAATTTACAAGAAAAAAAAACAGAAAAGGTCCAGTGATTCTTAAAATTTAAGCAAACATTTTTTTTTAAGTTTTGGATTTATTTGAAAAACGGTATTGTTTCTTATACCGAGATCTGCCAACTTTGAAAATATTTGCACTTATTTAAGACTCACCCTGTATAATAAATTATTTTTTTTTATTAATGCCATATTCTCGTTCTTGTTCACTATGTTTAAAAAATTATCTGAAATTTATTATTCTATTTTTTATTATTATAATTTTTTTATAATTATGTTGATTGTTGATACCAATGTGCATTTATGTAATACTATCAAAACAGCGAAATAAAATTAAAATCTGAATGAGACAATAATGATATTCAATAAAAATATTTTTAATTAATTAATATGTAAATATTCTTTTTATGAAAAACTAAGTATAAATTACAATACAAAATTGGCGACAGCGAAAGCTTTTTAATATGATTGACTTAAATTTAAGCTTATCAGTGGAGTTCTGGGCTTTCTCGGTTACACATAATCTTTGTATATACAGGGTGAGTATTTAATAAATGCAAATATTTTCAGGGTTGGTAAATCTCGATAAAAGTAACATATTTTCTCTTTGCTGTTTTTCAAATAAGTCCAAAATAAGTGAGTTATTTTACTTTGAAGATTTCTCAAAAAAATATATTTTGTTAAAATTTTGAGAACCACTGGATCTTTTCTGGATTTTTTTTTCTTGTAAATTTAATCTACTACCTATGTTGCCATATTATTAAGAGATTATGTTATTTAACACAAAAAAAAAATAAACAAAAAACCTAAAAAATTCCAAATTTAATTTTTTTTTCGTAAAAAACTTCATAATCGCTTTTCTGGGGTCGAAATATATTACCTCTATAAATATCTGCACTTATTTAAGATTCATCCCGTATATTTTATCTATTATCCATAGACCTCTTTACAGTGACAGTTAATCTGTCATTGAAAAAAAGGCAACCTAACCCAACCCAAAAATAAATCAATTTTTTTTTAGAGAGAAAATATGTTTCATTTATTGGGATCTACCAGCCCTAAAAATATTTGCACTTACTTAAGACTCACCCTGTATAATATCAAAATATAATATAGTCAGGTCATTATTTCGACCAAATGTGCTTTTAACAATGGTTAAGAAACGTTGTATGAGTGCCACTATACACCTATTGTCACTTTGATATTCTTCGATAAATATTTAAAAATGTATTTATCATAAAATCCTCTCATTAATATATTGAGTAGGTACGCCCCTACTGGTAATATATAATTAAATACATCTTTCTCTTCAACATTGTTTCGAATACTTTATACCGTTTTTTGCGAACTTTCTAAGAAGCCAATCTTATAACATTAAAAAAACTAGTCCTAACTGTATCCGAAATTTAAAACCAATTTATTTATGATTTCAGATCGACTAGCCAAATTCTCAGTTTAATTGCCAAGAGATTTTAAAGGTAGGCCAACTAAATATTCTTTATACTTAGATAATATTCAGCTTGCAGTAATGCAGTGGATTACTGACTATGTAATGCATAATGTACATAATTTTTCCGCAAAATGCTACACCAATTGCTAACAATATAAATGTCAAATAGATCATAGTTTCGGCTATTTAATATGGATTTTATTACTCGGAGTTGGAATTATTTTGATGGCATCACTATTTTTATTCTTGCACTGAAATAAACATTCTCATATATTCATATTTGTAATAGAACATGGGTAGAATATTTTAATTTAACATTTTAATGAAAATGGTTTTTAAATAACGCCAATTTGCTGGAATTATTTTATTGTTTCATATATTACATTGTATATAATATTAGAGATATTTAGGCAGTCACTGCTAAATATACTTTTATTGTCTTCTTAATTTAAACGTTAAAATAATTTACAAATGAAGCAGACCACTTCTGGTTTAAACACATCAAGTATTTCGGAAACAGTATGCCTACTATAAGCTTATAAATACTAACTAATATTATATAGGGTGAGTTAAATAAGTGCAATCTTGAAGTTTTGGATTTTATTTTTATTTTTTAGTTAAAAAATATAATATCTTGATAATATGGTGACATAGGTAGTAGATCAATATTAATTAATATACAGGAAAGAAAACCCAGAAAAGATATAGTGAATCTTAAAATTTAGTCAGAGAATATTTTTTTTTTATAAAGTAAAATAACCTCGAAAATAACTTGGTTATTTTGGTTTCTTTTATCGGGATATACCATCTCTGAAAATATTTGCACTTATTTATATACAGGGTGAGTCTTAAATAAGTGCAAATATTTTCGGCTGGTAGATCTCGATAAAAGAAACATATTTTCTTTTTATCGTTTTTCAGATATGTATGTCCAAAATAACCAAGTAATTTTACTTTGAAAATTTCCAAAAAAAAAATATTTTTTGCTAAAATTTTGAGAACCACTGGATCTTTTCTGGGTTTTCTTTCTTGTAAAATCTACTACCTATGTTGCCAAATTATCAGGAAATTATGTTTTCTAACTAAAAACAGAACAGACAATTCCGAATTTAAAAAAACTCCTCATAATCGAGTTTCTGGGGTCGAAATATACTACTCCTAAAAATATTTGCACTTATTTAAGTTTCACTCTGTATAGGATCCTATATTTTCTACGCGGTGAAAAGGGCTTCAGTAAAAGCTCTCATTGGGGGTCTATTTTTGGCAGTTGCTTTTGTTTCGTTCCATGTTGACCCTATTTGTTGGAGCTCATCCAATATGGAACGTCTCCATGTTTGAGCTGGTCGTTTTTGCCTTGGTCATTCCATTCTAACGCTGATTTCGCTGTGTTACAAACAGGTTTCCGCAAAGTGTGACCTATCCATCCCCATTTTCTTTTTCGAATCTGGATCCTACTTCTTGTTGGTTTGTAAAATGAAGCAGGTCGGTATTGCGTATAGTGTCCGGCCAAAAGATTTTTAGAATTTTTTTGAAGCAGCGATTGATAAAAACCTGTTGGCCGGTTGGTAGATATTTTTGTCACTCTCCATGTCTCACAGCCATATAGTAGAACTGGTATGACATTAGAATTAAATATTTTTAGTATTGTCTGTGTGGAGAGTTGATGAGACGTCTAAATTGATTTTAGTTGGCCAAAGGCTCGTTGCGCTTTTCTGATTCTGCTGGCAATATCCGTATCTGCGCCACCGTTTGCTGTTACAATTTGATACCGAGCCGAATTTAATATCACCCGGCATATTACTTACTGCTTAGATGTAATAACTAAGAATAAAAAAATATATATATGTTGGAGGCTGATGATCGAATTCGGCTATACTGACGGCGAATTCGGCCTATGTCCGAAATAATTAGACATATGACGATTTGTCCATATTAAACTTGCCAGATGCGTGCAACTCCGTGGTTATAAATAGCCTTTATATAACTTCGTTGCGGAGGGGGTTAATCTTTTTTAGGCATAATATAACAACAAAAGATTAACACCTTCCGCATAGAAGTTGAAACCAATGCAATCAAAACTCTTCCGCGTAACTTATTAACATAGGCCGAATTCGGCATCTGCCTCCAACGTATATAATATACAGGGTCGCTTTTATGTATGGAAACGGTCGATTATTAGGTAAAATATAGGAGGTACCGCAAAAAGTTAAATACAAAAGTTATAGGATTTTTAAATTTCTATTAGCGAGTAATAAATTTAAGTATACAGGGTCGTTCATAAAGTCGTGGCACATCAAAGTTTTATTTTTTTTTAAATGGAACTTCCTGTATATTATTGCCATATTTCAATTCTTCCTTCAATTCTAAGCAAAAAACGAAATACACATAATGTACTTCAAACTAATCCTATAATTAATTAAATTCCTTTTAGCTACTAGTAAATTTAAGTATACAGGGTCTGTCATAAAGTTGTCTCTTGTGTCACATGAAACTTTTTTTTTATACGAAACCCCCTGTATATTATTGCATATTTCAATTGTTCCTTTAATTTTAAGCAATAACCGTAATACATAATGTACATAAATTGAAGAATTGAAATGTTAAAGGAAAATTTTGCAATTTCCGGACTTGATATACTCTCATTTATACATCTATAAATGCTAACTTGACTACTAATGTCAAATATTATTAAGTATCACAGTTTCGGCAGAATGGCATCGGTAAATGACACTGAACATATCGAAATTAAATCGAATTGTTTAAGTGATATTTTCAAAAGTCAATAACTCGGAAACGGTTTGGTTTGGTTGTGATTCGATTGTGCGTCCGTATCTGTATAAAACTACTGAGTAAAAAAATATACATTTACGATGTTTTTTACGTAAAAAATGTCTCTTGGTAAAAATCGCTACGAGCAACCTTTCTCAAGATATTTACAATGGAAATAGTCGTTGACGAAGAATAAACACGTTGAGTAGATAGTTATTTGATCGAAATCATAATTTTGGAATTTTTTTTTTTTTAAATTAATCATAAATTTTCTGCAAAAAGACGATGATAAAACAGGTTCTGTTGAACTTTTGATACAAAAATATTTCAAATTTATGATTTCAGTCTAATAACTATTTAGTCAACATCATGTTTAATTTTATTAATGATGACAGGTATTGATAATTTCAATTCCAAATATCGCGATAACCATGACTCGTTGTACATGTAAAAAACGTTGTAAATGTATATTTTTTTAATCAGTTGTTTTAAACAGATACGGACGAAAAGTTATTACTTTTCAAAACAGGTAAAACACATGTAGGTGGCGCCCCTACAAATAGGAGTCATATTGACATCAAAATCAAATTTCTCATGTCAAAAAACTCTCCCAGACGCCATTTTTCACCTAAATGTTGACGTTACTTCAAAAATTATTTGGAAAAAAACAAATAAAAATGAAACTTCTACACCTTGTATCTCCGAAACTAAGCATTTTAGGACATACGTTTATACGAACTTTTTTACTTATTTTTATCTGCAGAATATACTGCCAAAGTTTCCGGAATACAGTTCGGACCACCCTGTATAATATGTATGTTTAGTACACCTTCTTTAAATAAATCTGTTCATACAAAATTAAGCAGAGACCTTTGAACGAGGTTTTGTTTACTATTTCGCGTAATATAACATTTCTTGCATAGTACACAGGTTTTTGCAATGCATGATATTAAACTAGGAAAATGTCAACTGTGCTGACAGAAGAGATTGTGTTTCAATTTCAATAACGGTTTTAATTAGCAAAATAAAAACAAATGCAAAGTCCAATTTTATGACTTAATTTGTTCCTTACAGACATATTCAATTTTTTTCAAAACACAGCATTTTTAAACAATAAGTTTTTATGTTTATTTTTTCAACTTAGGAAATAGAATACCTTTTAACAAATATCTCCTTTGAGAATATTAAACAAAACAAATAATTAAATTTAATTCATAAATTTGTAGTACAGAAATATGTTTGTTTACATCCTGTTCAAGAAGACTAAATCTACAGGGTGAGTCATAAATAAGTGCAAAAATAGTTTTAACCCCAGAAACACGTCTATGAAAATACTTTCGCGAAGAAAAAATTTTGAATTGTTTTTTTATTTATTTTTTTAAAATTTTAAGTTAAAAAAAATATGTACCTTGATAATATGACAACATAGGTAGTAGATACAGTGGTTCTCAATATTTAACCAAAAAATATATTTTTTTAATTTTTAAAGTAAAATTACCGCTTATTTTGGAGTTATTTGAAAAACGGTAAAGAGAAAATATGTCTCTTTTATCGAGATCTGCTGGCCCTGAAAATATTTGCACTTATTTAAAACTCATCCTGTATAATAAAAGACAATGAAATGTTTACATCTTTTACTAGCTGATATTTTTGTTTGATTAGCTTTTGCAGTAAATTGATGATACCCATAAATTATTAGTAAGAAATTTAGCTGTTGTCAACAACCCCATCTAGATTATGTCCGTTGATATGGATTGTTAAGAAATGTCTATACCTATACAGGGTGTCCCAGAAATAAGTGCAAGTATTTTAACTGGTAGTACAGTTCAACCCTAGAAACACGCCTATGAGGTTTAATTGAAAAATTTTTTGGAAATTTTTTTAGTTTTTAATTTAAAAAACATAATTCCTTGATAATGTGGCAACATAGGTATTAGATTAAATTTACAAGAAAGAAAATCCAGTAGAGATCCAGTGGTTCTCAAAATTTTAGCAAAATTTTTTTTTTTTGGAAATTTTCAAAGTAAAATAACTCCGTAATTTTGGGCTTATTTGAAAAACGATAAAGAGAAAATATGTTTCTGTTATCGAGATCTACCAGCCCTTAAAATACTTGCACTTATTTCTGGGACACCCTGTATATATGAATTGTTGTCATCCGCATCTATTATAAGTTACTAATGTTTATCAAAAAACATGTCCATAGTCAACGTGTCCCTCAATTGTGTTATATTGAGGGCTACTCGGTTAGTTCTTGTC